GGGAAAACTATTTTTTACCACTTAACTTCGTCCAGTCTTGGTAGAAGACTGCTTTTATTAAAGAAAATATAGGATTTTCTGGAAAGGACTCTAATATAATGGATACTCTAAAACTACCACTTTTATTAAAATTTATTTGAATAAAAATGACACTAAATACTATTGAACTCACCAGCATTTGTAAAAATGTTGATACTCGCTTTTCAAATAACTTGTATTCTCAGGTCAGCATTAGACAGGTACATTCTTGGAGCTTTTGACGAAGACAGTTTAGTACCAAGCTGCACCTATATTATTACTTGTATTATTTTGATGTATTGTAATGTAAACCATGTAAAACTATTACTATTAATGCAATGGTTTTTGTACTTTGATTACTATAATGCATGTGTTGTGATACTTGACATGACGTCATCCACCCCAGAACATTTCCGCCGTTCCGGTTTTGGGGTGTGACATGTAGTAATATGGAAACCATAGAATGCAACAAGAAGACGACCTCTATTAGGTGTTCAAATAGTATTATTTAGAGATATGTCAATCTCCTTAACATGTTTTTCTACCTCAAGTTGAGTGTTACTGTCAACCACAGGTTCTTCTTCATTTGGCTCTTGAATTTCTTTAAGATTTATCAGTCTCCCACTAGCTTCTTTGGATATTAGCTTCCTCTTGAGGAAGAGTCCCCTTCTAGTCATAAACACCTTGTTCAAAAAAGGCTTGTAGAACAAGTATCCAAAAGACTTTTGTGTATAACCTACAAAGTGACATTTCTTTAAACTATTTACCAACCCAAAAATCAAGAGTAAAAATTTATTTTTATTATAGTCAAAACACATGTATATTCTAAATCCAAACATTCCAAAAACATGATTAATTAAAAACATTTATCAGAGTTCGCCCCAAAATCATATATTGTGGAAACACAGGTGTGTGCGCTGCGATCAAGTTGGGCTCTTCATTTCCAAACCGATGATACGTGAAACCATAAACAAACTGTAAGCACGAAGCTTAGAGAGTTCCTCAAAGCATACCCTACATAATCCACATAACCTCATAAACTATATCAATCACATAAGCGGCATAAGCCATGCATAGGATATCGTGGAAACCCTCAAAGGTCTTACACACATAATCACATAAATTGTATAAACTTCACAGGTCATGAATATAAACATATAGGGATGTCATGGGCTCCCCCCAAGGTCTTACTCTAGGATGTCATGGGCTCTCTACATGGTCTTACACCTAAGTGTCATGGGCTCCCCCTATGGTCTTTAATAGGAAAGCCATGGGCTCCCCACATGGTCTTACATCCAAGTGCCATGGGCTCTCCCCATGGTCTTTAATAAGAAAGTCATAGGCTATCCACATGGTCTGACATCCATGTATCATGGGCTCCCCCCATGGTCTTTAATAAGAAAGCCATGGGCTCCCCCACATGGTCTTACATCTAAGTGTCATGGGCTCCCCCATGGTCTTTCATGCAAATATCACATAAACAAATAGCATGGCACATAGCATATAACCAACTAACATACCACATATCACTACATCAACTAGTGTACCACATAACACAAAATGGGTCCGCCTTGGTTCCTTCGACCCATTGGTATGGTGAGGAGACTCACCTCACACTGCTGAAGTCTTGCAAATAATTTTATGGTTGCTGGCTGACAGGTCCCCGAACTGTCAATCATCAAAATAAACCCAATTAATCATTTGGGTTTAAATTCATAACCATAAATACACACTTGGGGTAAAAGGACCATTTACCCCTAACATAGCTTGATCCAAAACCAAGGCCCAACTGATACTCTAAAGGCCCAAAAGTCAAATAATCAACCAAGGCCAAACATATGGCCTAATTTCCTAAATTGGGCCCAAACCTCTACATGGTCTTACCTTAAGTCCCAACCATTTATTCTAGTCCAAACACTTGGCATTATGATGGTCTAATATCTCATAATCATTAAGGCCCAGTTATGGCCCATCTATGGCCCAATTTCCAAATTGGTCCCAAACCTTTTCAATGGGGCTTATCCTAAAGCCCAATCCAAATATTCTAGTCCATATACTTGTTAATAGTTGGCCCATCAAGAGTCTAGACATCTAGGCCTAACATAAAGACCCAACTCAAAACCCAACACAATTAGGGTTTTCACATGAAATGACAATTATGGTTAATTAAAAACACTTAACCCATTAAGGAATTAATCCATTAAGTCCATCAATCTACTAAGTCAACCATACAGTGTGGTTGGGCTTAATTCATAAATCCAATTCAATTGTTCAAAATGCAGGTCCCGGCAAGTTCAAATTAAAATCTCCAGAATTAGGGTTTTCTAAACCCTAATTAGGGTTTCCAACCAAATAAGTCCAAAACTAAGATATTGGGTCGATTAGGGTATAACTATGTCGAGCACCACCTACTGCTACCTCGGGTAGTGGTAGTCGATGGCGGCTTACGGCGGCAACTACCACCTCATGGTGGTGGTGGGGGTTTCTCATGGCTTTTCTTCGGATTGAAACACCCAATCAACATCTCAGCAAGGAGGATACACACTCACACGCACCTATTAACACACTCACAGCCACACACGCGGCGGCAGGCGGTAGTAAACGGTGACAATGGGTGGCAGCCACCACCTTCAAGTGGTGGTGGTGGTGGTGGTGGGTTTTATGGCCATATATTGCACTGACAACTCCAAGACCACAATAAACAACTTATATACTTGAACACGTAAACATCCGACCACCTCTTAAGTGGTTGACGTCACCGGAAATGACGAGATCACCGGCCAAAGATCATAATTCTTTAAATGAGATTTAAAATGGAAAAATTATTTCCAAAAGCTTGCATTGAAATGCTCTTAGACTATTTCCATTAGAATCAAAACCAACCAAACTTTCTATTAAAAACCTAATTTCTCATTCTTTCATCTATACAGTCAAATTAAACTCATATTTTCATTCTCATTAACAACTCAATCAAACCCAAACTTAATTTTTATTAATTAAATACAGTTAATACAACCTTGTAAGTATTTTTATTATAACAAAAAAAATTAGAAATATTAAAATTAGTTATTTCACTTTCATATAAATAAAGTTTGGTTATGAATAATCTGGTTTATATATATATATATATATATATATATATATATATATATATATATATATATATATATAAAGTTCATTAGAGAACCATAATTATTGGTTCTTCAAGAAACCAAATCTTTTTTCAATTTTAAAGCTTATTCTTTATCGAAAAAAAAAATCTAAAAATATCTAAATTTATATATTAACATTGTGAATGTGAAAAATATTTTTCGGATTCACGTTGTGAATTTTCAAAGATTCACATTGTGAATTTGACGTAAAAATAAAAAAATATATCGAATTTTATATCATTGGAAAAAGGATAAAAAGTTATGAATTTCTGTATTTTTAGTTTTTTTTTTAATAAAAAAATAAGTTATAAAAGTTGAAAAAAAAGATTGGTTCCTTGGTTCCTTGGTTAATTATGGTTATATATATATATATATATATATATATATATATATATATATATATATATATATATATATATATATATATATATATATATGACCAAGACTGCCCATTGATTTACTTAGCCTATATCTGTGTTCGAACTCCTTAAATAACATCGAATTGAACCACCATCTTTTCATAGAGTTTTCTTGCTCCATATTTGCATGAAAATACAATAGATGAATAGTCATTCGACGAAAAATCATTTAATTTATTTGAATATCTTATTTCCTATCAGAATAAGCATATCAATACAATCACTAGGATTATTAACTAATATAATAAGGAGTGTAAGTATTGAAAAAAGGATTTGTTCTCTCCTACAAACAATTTTTTCGTAAAATCTCGTCTAATAACTAATAATAAGTTAAGTTTCTATTACAATACGGAACAAAAAGGACAATATACAGGATGGGTAGAAAGAGTTGTGATACCTGTCTCGATCCAGGAAAAATACAGGATCTAAAATAATATCCCAATCCTAAGGATCCATAGGATTAATTGTGGATCCAACCAACACAAAAATAGAAAGATTTGAGTTGTTTAGTTTTCGAGTTTTTAGTTGAAATTTTTTATATCTATATAAGTATGTATCTATCTAAAATATATGCATGTTGGATTCGGCTCAATCTTTTATTTATATATATATATATATATATATATATATATATATATATATATATATATATATATATATATATATATATATATATATATATATATATATATATATATATATATATATATATATATATATATATCAAAAGATGCGAAACCCACCTTTTTATATCTATTACCAGCCCAATCCAAAATCAATTTTATATTAATTATTATAACTCCTAATTATTTTATATTCATGGTAGAATATTAAAGTAAAAAAATATAGAATTTTGTAATATTTTTTAAAAAGGTTTAGCCTCCAAAAATGAACTCCATATTTATTTAATATTAAAATATAACCCAACTTGGGTTTGAGATGGAGGCTTCCGTCGTTTGTTTCTTTTACTTCACTTTATTGTAACATTTTCTTTACATTATTTTAAACATATATATAGTGCATGCCCCCCTTTCTTATTTTATTGTTTAGTTGTTAAACCAAATTAATATGAATTTGTATTGGTATGAGTAGAACGTTACCATTCTGTCAAGAGCAAAGACAAAATGAATAACGTTATCTGACAAGTGACACCTATTATAAGTGGGAAGAAAAGTTAAATTAATGAGATCAACATAAATAATTAGATTAATGAGATAAATGGGAAGAAAACTTTTTTGGTGATTAAGTTTTAACATTTTGGCTTTGTTGTTTATACATTAGATTCCTCTATTAAAAAAAGACTAGAAACTCATATAAAAGACCAAGTACCAATGAAGAAGAAGCTCGAACTAGTATTTCAATTTCCAGTCGACTAACTAGGTGTAAACCTCTATCAGCACAACAAATTCCAATGGCAGATGGAGATGTGAATATCTCCATTGATGAAACCATCAAAGGTCTTCTAAATTCTGTACAAAACCGAAGTCCTATCGACCTATTTTCAACATGTATTGACATTGCTCCTAGTGGCCTTCGGGATCTCAGCCCTTCTTCTTTCAACCCTAGGGTGGTCTCCATAGGTCCTCTTCACAAAGAAAACGAAAATCTGAAAGCATTTGAAGGCCAGAAAGCAACTTATGTCCATGAACTATTGCATCCTCTCGATTCCCCAGTCGAGCAAACACTAAAAGAATGTGTGCTGAAGGTGGCTTTTTCAGTAGACAGAATCAGAGCATCCTATACCCCGAAGATCACCTATACTGACATGGAACTTGCCAAAATGATGGTTATGGATGCATGTTTCATACTTGGATTCATTGGCGCACTTTCAGAATCCAGTGATGAACCAGAACTCGAATACTTGTTGCGTGGCTCATCTATAGTTTAAGACCTCGTGCTTGTTGAAAACCAGATCCCTTTCTTTATTCTTCAAGACATTTTCGACTGCACAATCTTGAAATCCAAACCTGCAGCCTCTCTAACTGATCTTATCCTTCAACTCATACAAGTTTTCAACGCCTTTCAATCAAACATAACAATCAGCAACGTTTACCCATTTGTACCTCTTGATCATATTCTTGGTTTTCTTGATAGGTGTTACTGGCCATCAGTGGAATACTCTCCTTCACAAGGATTACCAAGTTCAGCAATCCACTCGACTGTAGAACTGGAGAGAGCAGGGATGATCTTTCAATGTAATCAAGATCATGAAAGATGGCAAATGGATATGGAGTTCAAATCTTCTAAGTTTTCATGTTTTTCGTGGTGTTGGGGGAAGCCTACTCTAAGAATGCCAGTATTGCGTATTGACAACTTCACTGAGTTGATTTTAAGGAACCTCATTGCTTATGAGCAGTCTTCTGGATTTCGTACTTATGTCACCTCGTATGCTATGGCCATGGATATGCTAGTCGATAATCAAGAAGACATTGCAAAGTTAATAGACTCAAAAGTCGTTGTCAACCATTTAGGTTCAAATGAAAAGGCTGCAAATATGATGAATAGTCTTTGCAAAGAACTTCCCTTATTAAGTTTCTATTACATTGATATCTGGCGACAAATGGATACCCACTACAATAGTTATTGGCCCAAAAATATATCGGCTTTGAAGCGTACATATTTCAGTAGTCCATGGAATATGATTGCTCTACTTGCTGGTATTGCCCTCTTTGCTCTTACCATAGTTCAGACCATATATACTGTCAATGCCGCATAGTGAAAAATTGCTTTTTTCTTAAGCTGCTGGAAGCAACCTGTAGTTGATTTGAATTGCTTTGAGATGTGTCTTTTTTTTATTTGTTAACGCTTGCAACATGTTTATGTCAATCTTCATCTTGAGGGGTTCCTCAAAACATGGTGATTACTTGTCCTTTAAGATTTATATATTCAAAATTTCTATCATTTAGAAATGTAATGTTTTTGTTAGTTATTATACACTTGCGAATAGTTGTATCACCCACATTTTTATAAATATTTATAACAATTGCCCCGTCTTATTACTTCATAACAACTTATAAATAAATAAATGTTAGGTTGATATGCTTCCATTTGGTGAAATGTACAACTATTTCGTTAAATTGGGTTTTGGTAAGGATGTTATTCGGATCGGAACCGGACTAAACCGACCTAAATCCGAATAACTGAAAACCGAATAAGGCTAATTGGAAGAACCAAAACTCTGACCGATTAACATAATACAAGTTTGGTTTGGGTTAGTTATTAAATAACCAAATAATATTCACAATATGATTATCAACCTTATATAACCGCAAAGAACCAAATAAATTGTATTATGATTTCATAACGCGAATGACATTTACAGTATGATTATAAACACCATATTTTTTATTATTTTTATAGCTTATGATTCTATGACAAAACTGTTAAAAAAAAGAAATTTATCGATTAAAAGTAATAAAACATATATAATGGTTTCAAAGGTAAAAAAAATGTTAGGTTTTGTGTCGTATAGTAAGCATCCACAGCAAAGACAGGCTTACATATAAACATAAATTATATATTTTGTATGTATCAAAGGGTTTCTAGCTCAGTAGTATCTGGTGTTGTCCTCTCTCCTTAACGTTGAGGGTTCAAGTTCCGTCGTGGACATAAGTGGATTTATGTGTAGTTTAAAAGTAGGTTAGATTTGTTGTTCGAAAAATAAATATATATTTTTTGTATGTTTTTATTCCCAAGAGACCAAATATTCAATATACACAGAAATTGATTTCACTTTTTCTTTAATTATTGTAAACAAGAACAAACTATTATTGAGATATATGAAAGTAAAATCCAGACACCAAAATCAAGTAAATCGGGCAAATAACGAAGATGCTATAACACCCTATGTTGAGTTAACAACTCAACTTCAATACCCCATGTTTAGGCAAACATGTTTTCATTAAAAAAAATTGAATTTTTATAGGCAAACATGTTTTCATGATTTCAATATTTATATAAATTTTTATTTTGAAAAACCACAAAACTTTCTCCTACCAATGTCTTAAAATCATTTAAAATGCACTCCAAAAAGTCTTTGTACAAAAGAAACACCAACAAACTATATAATTTATTCAAATTTCACCTTAGGATGTTATTTTTTCCACCATTTTCTTCTCTATTATTCTCCAACGCTATCTTATTTTTCCCATATATTTGGATATATGAATAGTAATACCCCATATATAGGGTAATACTATTCATATCTCCAAATATGGGGATGAAGTTTCTCTTGTCGGATTTAATCTTTCATTTTATATATTTATACATTTCTAGTTTATTTTATCTATTAGTTTAATTTAAATATAATATTTAATATTTATAATATTTTGTTATATAACAAATTATATTAATTAAGCATATGTATAAAATTTATTTTTATTTATCAAATTCATATAAAAATTTAATTACATATTAAAATCATGAAACATGATAACGTATTTACAAAAGCATGTATAATATTCATTTTTATAAACGCTTGTATAATATTTATTTATAAGTGTATTATAAATATAATTTTTGTTTATTTAATATTGTTGTAATGAAAAAAAAATATTATATAATTGTTAAAACTGAATTAGTAGAGTGATGTTTTTGACAATTTATATAAGTTGGAAAAATAGCATATTCTAGAATATACTTTTTCGGGTAAAAAAAAACGGAGTAGGATTAGAGATGGAACACTAGTTACCCCATATTTTATTCCATTTTTATGAGAAAGATAAAGGTGGGTTGGAGATGGTCTTATGGTAACCGATAATCATCGATAAAAAATAATTAAAGAAAAAAGAAACCAAATAAAATTACTCAGAATGGTAGTTATGTTTCAAAATCGTTTAAAGATCACAATCCAAGTTTGGTATGTTAAAAAAACATTATCCAAGTAAGTTTTTATACAAATAACACCAATATGCCATATGTTTTGTTCAAATACCACATACCGGTAACCGATTCTTATAGGTTAAAAGGTGATTTGGCCTAATAATTATGATATTGCATAGTAATTAGAGGCAATACATTAATTGAAGTATTCCTCCTTCATAAATCAATTTAGGGCTTCTTTGTCAACGAATGACTTCTTCTCCTTTTATTGATTTCTTCTAAATGGATAAGCATCAACTCAAGCTCACATGTTTCAAAGACCCTTAACATATTTATTTGATGATACAAACCCTAATAGAGTGGACATCCTTCTTGAATTTAAATATTAACCTGGAAGACTAATCATGTCAAAAACTTTAGGTTTGTCCCAACTAAACGCTAACTTTAACCGAAATTAATTATCATGTCTTTCGCCTATATATTTTCTTTGTTATATTTTCTTTGTTATGTGATTCATTTTTTGAATATACATATATTTTCTTGGTTATGTGATTATTTTTTGAATATACATGTGTATGTTATTGCTATATATATTTTCTTGGTTGTGTGATTCATTTTTTGAATATACATAGTGTAAGTTTTTGCTATGGGCGCATAACAATCTTGAGCAATACACTTTCTTGAATATACATCACTTTCTTTAATTATAAGATAGAATACAACATAAAAAATAGTTTTTCCAACCAAAAGAACCTAAATACAAGTCTGTTTGTATTCATTTTGGTTTTTATCAATTGTGTTGAGTCTGTATTTCTAAAATAGATTTTCCAACCAAAAGAACCTAAATACAAGTTTGTGGGGAATAAGACTAATTAAGGTAATTAACTTTTCGGTTTGTTCACATGTAGGTAACTATCTTTTTTTGTAGACATCTAGGTAACAAACTTTTTGAAACTGTTCACATATGACCATTATGACCTGCTATAGCAGGTTACCTCCGGCTACAGTAGGTCATAATGGTTACATGTGAACACTTTCAACAAGTTCGTTACCTAGATGTATACAAAATAAAAATAGTTACCTGAATATGAACAAAACCAAAAGTAAGAGTAAATTACACGAATGGTCTGTGTGGTTTGGGGAATTTATGTATTTGGTCCCTAACTTATTTTTTTAATTCGGATGGTCCCTACTGTTTTGTTTTGTTGCGTTTGGTCCATGTCTTAACTAAAAAGACTTGTGTGTCCTTATTAATTTAATTTTTTTAAATTAATTTTCTTATTTATGTACTGTTTTATATGTTTAAAAAAACTAATAGACCTCACATATTTGTATCTCCTCACCATCCTATCTTTCATCATCCTAAAGTTTTATTTCTTTTCCATATTTAATGACAACGAAGTCTTCACCATCTATTCTTTTTCGGTCCTTCAACTTCAGCGAACCAACACCACAACCCAATAAAGTGAAGAGACCGTGGGTTATGGTGTTTGTTCGCCGGAGTTGAAGGACCAAAAAAAAGGATTGTGAAGACTTCCATGTCACTAAAGATTGAAAGAAAATAGAGGTTGAAGAGGATGTGAGATGGGATGGTGACCGGTGGGACTCAAATTAAATTTCTCAAATGTGCTTTCAGATTTATAGTGAGGAGATACAGATATGTGAGATCTATTAATTTTTTTAAACATATAAAAAACATAAATAAGAAAATTAATTAAAAAAAATAAATTAATAAGGGCATAGTAATCTTTTTAGGTAAGACAGGGATTAAGCGTGCAACAAAAAATAAACAGTAGAGACCATCTGAGTTAAAAAGAATAAGTTAGGGACCAAATGCACAAATTCCCCTATACCATAGGGACCATTCATGTAATTTATTCTTACTTTTGGTTTTATTCATATTTAGGTAACTATTTTTTTTGTACAAATCGTAACGAACTTGATGTTCACATATAACCATTATGACCTGCTGCAGCTGGATGTAACCTGCTACAGCAGGTCATAATGGTCATATGTGAACAGTTCTAAAAAGTTTGTTACGTAGATGTGTACAAAAAAAAATAGTTACCTATATGTGAAAAACCCAAAAAATTAATTACCTTAACAAGTCCTATTCCCCAAGTTTGTGTATTCATTTTGCTTTTTATCTCTTGTATAGAGTCTGTATTTCTTTCACCTGTTGTCGTACCGGTATCTTCTCAACTTTATAGTATTAATAATAATCGAGATCGTCAAAGTTTTATGTATTCAAGTATGTTATAAGCCAATATATAGCACCTAATTTGATTAGAATTCAATGCACAATGAAAATATAAAATGAACAATTAAGCAACACTAATATGTTAATTTTAAGCTAAACTAGCATTGCAAGAACTTAGTTAAGAGTTTACATTAGGCTGAGGAGGGAAAAAGTGTAAGGGTTACATTTGCAAAACAAGACTGAAATAAAAACACACAACTTTTTCATGTATTACAAATTTCAATCATCATCTTCATCATCATCATCATCATCATCATCTTCCTCCTCATCAACATCAGCATTTTCCTACTCATTTTAGACAACATAATACTTATCAATTATCCACAAACTATTAGGTGTAAACCACATGATGATATTATATGAAAAAAGAAAAAAGTTTGTTAAAATAAACCCTAAAAGTTTATAAACAAAGAATACCTGTCCACTTTCCTCATCTACTTCAGACTTTGACTTGTCAGATTCCTCATCAGCATCATCATCCTGTTTATTGTTGTATGCATTCATCTGTTTTTCATACTCAGATTTTCTTTTTGCAGCTTTAGCTTCAAATGGAGCTTTTTCCTGAAAAGGAGATTGAATATTAAACACAAAACACCAATCATTTTACAAATTCAGCTTAAGAATACTTACAGATG